CGAGAAACGTTGTGAGATAGGCGGAGGAGTGGGGATGCAGTGCGCTTGGGGGAGAGGAGGAGGTAGCGCAGGGGAGCTTCGCTGCCGTAGGGTGCAGAGCACCCACTAATTTTTCCCCATGGGTGCTCCAGCCCGGGAGCACCCACGGAGTCGATGCCTATGCACACCGGAGCTGTGGACTATGCAACCCTCCTCCTCCAATCTGACTGACCAGGGAAGAACCTGACCAGATTCAGACACGCAGACCCCACGGCTTCCAATAGCTGAGGGCCCAGGAATCCCTTACCCAGCGAGGTCACTGCCTCATGGTTCTCCTGCATGACGTCCCTGTAGAGAGCTCTCTGACCGGGGTCCAGCAGAGCCCCCTATCCCTCGGTGAAATACACAGCCACCTCCTCGAAGGTCACCGGCATCTGAAACAACAAGAGTCCCCCACTCACCACCTGTTGCCCCAGCCACAATCCCACTAGTCATGGGGGAGGAGGCCCAGAGAAGCAGAATCCCACAAGCACCCTGCTCAGATCAGCCAGGAGGCTTCAAGGGGTGGGGAGAAGGTGAGAACTCCTTGTCCCCCACAGCAGACGGAGCAGGGCAGGGTTTTCTCATTTCCCACACACCTGCCAGCCACAGGCTGATTCAGGAAGCAGAGCTCTGGGACAGGGACAGGAATCCCAACAACTTCCCTTTGTATTTCACAGCAGCCTCTGACCTGTGGGGTCAGGCTCCAGCACTGGGAGTCTGGTCAGTTTTCCCAGCCCTGCCCAGGGGGGTGTTTCCTGGTTCAGAAATGGGGGAAATGTTCCCTCCTCTGGCACACGCCAATGGGCCTGTTCAGAAAATCAGGCTCCAAGTTGAATGTGTCCCAGCAGGTTTGTCCTGCCCCTCCCCTTCCACAGCAACTCCCCCTGCAGCTCCCTGAAAATCACCTACCTGAGCTGGCTCCATCACAGCCAGTTCCCTTCCCTGTTCCCTGGAAGACGGGAGGATCTGGAGTGAAACGTGGATGTAATTCCACAGCCTGTCAGGGCGAGAGGGGCGATGGGGAAGGTTTCAGAAGGGGCTTGAGTCCATTTCAGACCCCGATTCCCCCCAGGCTCTCTCCCTGCAGACAGACACTCTGGACTCTGCCATGCTGGGAAAACCCTCAGTCACTTTATTACAACACAGACCCGGCCCCTCCCACCAGCACTGAACCCCTGAGACACTTTTAAACCCCCCCAGGGACAAAGTCTCTGAGAAAAATGCTAGAAAAGAGCAGAATCATAGGAGCCACTTTGGGGGATTTCCCCTGACATTGGCCCCGAGGGCAGCTGCTGGGGGCTAGGCAGAGGCAGGATCTGGCTTTTCCTCTGTCAGCTCCTCCCCTTGTTCCCAGGAGAGTCAGTCGGCCCAGGGGGATGCAGGGAATGGATCCGGGCAGGGCTGGGAGCTGGGAACCTCCCTCCTCACTTACTGCTCCTGCTGCTCCTTTCGGTCTCACCCCTCCCCTTCCTGTCTCCGTCCCTCTCCCCTCTGCCTGGGAGAACTGGGGACTGTCCCGTTCCCATGGGCGTTGCTCTCCAGTCTGAGCCTGGCTGTGTCACTGAGGGCAGCACTTCGGGGACCTGCAGGCACGGGGGAGCCCCTCCCCCTCTGGTACAAACTCACCAGCAGGTCGCTGAAAGGGGCCCCTTGGGCAGAGTCACTTTCCTGCCCGGCCCCAGCCCTTTCCCCCGAGTCTCTCCCCGGGCCCTCACCTGCAGGCTGCGGCTCAGGGGTTGCTGTTGGCAGAGCCTGGGGCTGCCCCAGGGGCTGGTTCTATCCACCAGAGAAAGCTATCTGTTTGTCCCGTCCCCCGTCTCTCACCCCCCGCAGTTGAACACAGAGGGGGGTTAATGAAGGTCTCTCCTTGGCAAAGACCCCGCTGGGGGAGCAGCAGCTGCTCAGTCTGGGACCCAGATCAAAATGCAGGAGGCAGCATCAACCCAATAGAGTCACGGATATTTTTAGTAAAACTGATGGACAGGTCACAGGCTGTAAACAAAACTTCACGGCCCATGATCTGTCCACGACTTGTACTATACCCCTGACTAATTCTTACGAGTGCTGTGGGCGCTAGTGGCCGGGGGGAGGGGCATGAGTGCTGGGGAGTACGTGGCCAATGAGGGTGAGGCTGGAGACTCTTGCCTACATGCTCGGGGTTCTGCTGATCGCCATATTTGGGGTCGGGAAGGAATTTTCCTCCAGGGTAGTTTGGCAGAGGCCCTGGAGGTTTTTCGCCTTCCTCCGCAGCATGGGGCAGGGATCGATAGCTGGAGGATTCTCTGCTAGCTGAAGTCTCTAAACCACAGGATTTGGGGACTTCAACAGCAGAGTCAAGGGAAAGGGTTGGGACGGCTTTGTGGCCTGCATCATGCGGGAGGTCAGACTAGATGATCTTAATGGTCCCTTCTGACCTTAAAGTCTATGAGTCTATGAGGTGGGTGGCCTGGGGGGGGCACTGCAGGTGCTGGGAGTTAGCAGCCTGGGGGGGGGGCTCCGCAGGGGGCAGTCTAAGGGTCGCTGTGGGTGCTCGGGTGGGAGCAGCCCAGGACCCTGCTAGTGCTGTGGGGCGGGGTGGCTGGGCTCGCAGGCTCCCTATCCAACATCTCCCTCCCTAAGCTTCTAGCTTCCATGACCTCGCAGCCTTAATCATGAGCAGACAGAGACAGACACCAGCCTCCTCTGCCTTAGCAGTAACCAGCCCCCCATATGAGGACAGTTCAGCAGCATTTGCCCATCTGGACTCACACCGGAACAGAACCAGAGAACCAGCTTGAACCGATATGCTTAACTGAACTGGAACCAGACTTAAACCATCATTTTTCCTCTTCCTCAGTGAACCTGAATCTGAATTGAACTTGGAAAAAAATGGCTGCCTGTTGAAATGAAGTTTCAGCAATTTTTCAGCTCAATATTTGACAAAATAAAATAAAACCTACTCTGATCTCACTCATTATAAACAAGACACCAAAACAACCCCCAGGCATGTGATTGCTACTGGAACAGCCTGTCCCAGTAGGAGAAGAGAAGGGGGCAGCCCACAGGAGGAGGGAGGGAGTGAGGGAGGGGGAGAGAAGTGGGGGCTCCCTGTCCCAGAAGTTAACATTAACTCCTCAAGGCCAAGGAAAAAGGCTGCTCAATTCTTCTTCCACTTAGACAGGCCTCCTCTCACCTGCCCTCACCCCTTAGGGCGGCTTCTCCCTCCAATTGCCCCACCTGAGGCAGGCCCCATGCCCCAAATTCAGTTCCCCACTGAAGCAAGCCACAGGGCTCACTCCCAACTCCCTCCCCCCTTCTGGGGCACTGCCTGGTAGCTGAACCAGAACCGAACACACCGACTGCCACTAAACCCGAACCAAACCCCAGTTCCACTCCTTTCGGCTCACAGTGACTCTGGTTGGACACCAAATCCTGCGCAGAAATCAGACCAGCCCCTGTTCAGTGCTGTCATCCCAGGAGTCAGACCCCCCCAAATAAGGAGATTGTCTTTAAACATAAATATGAAATTGGGAGCAGGGTGTGTGTGTGTATGGGGGGGGGATTCTGGGTGGACATTTGCCTGGTAAATTCTCAGCCCTTTGGGGTAAATCTCCTGCCCGCCCCATCTCTGAGTGATCACCTTTTCTAAAGGCAAAAGTGGGACACATGCAGGAGCCCCGCCCCTCCTCTTCCCAAGGCCACACCCCCTGCTCTGCCTCTTCCCTCTGAGGTCCTGCCCCCTGGCCAGACCGGAAGCTGGGCCGTGATAACACCTGCACAGGGAGCCCGGGCCACTGCAAAGAGCCCTGGACCCTCCACCTGGCAGGGGGCTGGAGTGCCAATTAGAGTGACCAGGTGTCTGATTTTGGACTGGAACACCCGGTCAAAAAGGGATCCTGGAGGCTGCAGTCAGCACCGCTGACCAGACTGTCCTGTTGGCGCCGCTGCGCAGCAGGGCTGGCAGGCTTCCAGCTAGGCTCCACGCCACGC